TACTACTACTACTACACTACTACTACCACTGCATGCTGCTACTTCTGCTGCTGCTGCTGCTGCTACTGCTGCTAGTACTACTGCCGCCGCCACCACCACCACCACCACCACCACCACCACCACCAACAACAACAACAACATCTACAACAGCCAATCAATCAAGCAAGCAAACACGCAAAAACAACAACAACAGCAACAACAACGGCCACGGCCACGGCGACGGCGCCGGCGCCGGCGACGGTGGCGACGACGACGACTACGACGACGACGACGACGACAGCGACGACAGCAACAGCAACAACAACAACAACCACACCGACAACGACGACAACGTCAACCACAACGACAACAACTAAACATCTGCAACAGCAACAACAACTACTACTGCTACTACTTCAACTTCACCTACAACTACAATAACGGCAACAACAACAACTACGACGACGACGACGGGCATTTTCCACGACAACCTCTTCGGGAGCACGCGTTGGACAGGTGATCAAAAACATCGAGATCGGTACAGGTTTTGTGTTGTTGGCTGTCCAAACTAATCCGTGCTCAATTTGAGGTTCGGCGTAGTAGTAGCCGACACGGCTTGCAAGCATGCGATTGATGGCGCTATCCAGGTTCTTTTGGCTTATCATGAAAGCGGCCTTGAAGGGGTCGCCCGAAAAGGACGTGTTCAATTCGATGTATGGATTGCGGGGCGGATTTTGACAGCTCAAGGTGTACTTTGGATCGCAATTTGTGTCTCCTTCTGGCAGCAAAGGGAAAGCGTTTTGTATAGTAGAAGAGCCGTAGTAGTAGTCGTCCTGGTCGGTAGTATTGGTGGTAGCAGCAGGTGCAACACCAGCAGTAGCAGTCGTGGTGGTATTGCCGCAAGGATGATGCTTGCGTCGTGGCGATTACTGTAGACATTGCTTTCTTGTCGTCACTCTCGCTGCAGTAGGGCTATGCATGCAGGCGTTCTTGAGTTGAATCTGGACCTCTTGAAGCAACGCATCAATCCTGAGACCTGAGACCCGACAGCGGAACGAACCCCGCTTGTTCTATCTGACCAAAACCTCAACCTCTTCGTGCCGCCCAGGCGCTACTTCATCCAGAAGGGCCGCCTGGACTGTCCACAATTGGCGATTGCAGCTTCGTCCCAGAGATGCTCCAATCACAAAGTGAGTAATCCTGCATGCATGCCTGCATGCACGTGCACGCCGGTCGGTCAGTCTGTTTATATGTCTCTTTGTCTACGTGTCGGTCTCTGACTGTGCATGTATTCCCCTGAAATGCATACATACTTGTTACAAACCTGACAAAGCTTTTGGCCTCATTCTACCCACAAGCCCAAGTTGCTCCAGGACACTCGCTTTCCCATCACGCAGCGGCACCTCGTCGAATCAAGGCACTGTCCCCAAGGGTCCAAGTTTTTGATAGTCATGTTATGCTCTCCCAAATGGTAGCCTACATAACTACTATACGAAACCTAAGTACCTAATTATTGAGTTCTTTGGACCCCTAGCTTGTGGCCCTTGGGCCATTCTGACGCATGGTTGTAGTTCACGGTGTTCGCATATCGATAGTAACGAATTTTGTTTTTTCGATGCCTGTCCTGGTGATGGCAGGTGCGTGAAGAAAGTCAAACAGGGCGTCGGTCTCTTCAATGCCCCAGCCCCTGCTTGGCTGCTTGAGGGACCTACGAGATCAATTGGCACCCTGAACTTGAATGTTATCAGCTGCTGAGACCAACGACTTTCCTTTCCCGTACAAAATCGACATTGAGGCCTGCACATGCGTTGCAACCCAACTTGACAATACGGGTGTAACAGTTGGCGGATGTTGTGGCGATTATGACTGGCCTGTGGTACCGTCTGGCTTCGTAGAAGCCCTGAGAGTCAGCATGTGACCGGCGAGCTCTGGAAATCTTTTGAACGTGCCTTCTACCTATAGTCTCCATTGTAGTTCCTTTTTGGGGATACCTTATAGAATCCTTAATATATAATTGGTTGAACCACAAAAGGAACTACAATGGAGACTATAGGTAAAAGCTTCACAGTCAGGCTTGGACGGTTTGACTTGGAAGGGAGGTGCATCAGAAGGTCAAGGCAAGGTCCGCAGTTAGCGAACAGCTGCGCAAGGAGGGAGTAGATCTGTCAGAAGTAGGCAAGAACGAGCAGACCTGAAGAGGCAATCCGTCCATCGTGAGACTTTATTCGAAGTGAACTTTCCGGATGATATCAACGAGACGGCGATATTCGGCACAGCTAATCATGGACACAAGGATGACATTCGCATGCGTATCGAGCGCGGAGCATCTCTTGATGTGGTTTCGACCGAAGGCCTTTGCCCACGCTCCCTGCTATCCGACTCCCAGCCCGAGATTCTCAAAACCACGCGAAAGAGGAAAGCGCCTGACTCCCCAGACGATTCGTGCTCGGTTGCCTCAGCACTTTGCTGAGCACATAAAAGCGGGATGGCCAGGGCGAGGAGGAGGAGGGAGGAGGAGGGAGAGGACGAGGAAGAGCCCATTATAGAAAGTCGTAGCGACAACATTGTCGTGCGGAACGACGAATATTTATGTCTTCGCCTCTGTGCTTCATTGCGCAGAGCGGTCACGACGTTCTGAGAGGGAGTTTACAGTGGACCTGCTCACTTGCACACGGCACATCCGCGGCATGGCAACTTAAAAGATGCAGGACGCGTCCAATTTGGTGAACGTCCCAGTGGACTTGGCAAAAGGCCGGTTGAGAGCCATTTGAAACTTACATTGGCTGCGGTGTTTGCAAGCACAAATACCGCTGTGGGATACGTGTATGACTCCTTTTCCCACGACGAGCTGAAGATAGTCCGCTGCAACCTGTAAAGTGGAGCGATCGCACCAAAGTAAGGGCCTAGGTGGATTGTTGCTGCGAAAGTCAACGCCAGGAAGAAGGGTTCCACGCGCTCGAAGGTCAAACTTGAGGTGTTGGAAACCAACGAGGCTGCCATCGAATGCTATGGCAAAGCAAGTTTTACAACATACGACACCGGCGTATCGAGTTTCCCCCCATCCGCCCGCAGTCACATGAAAACTAAGTGGCTGCGGATGGAAAGCTCTGCTTCTTAGAGTTGATGTTTCAGTTTGTCACGGTCGACGGTTATGTTTCACTGTATCATCTTCACGGGACGAATGCTGCAAGGACCTGTGTATAAAGGACTGTGCAGTCATGGATGGGCAGCAGGGTCTGCAGAAGACGAAAGTCTTATTCGGACAGCAGACTTGGCATCGAGCAGACCTGATGCGTTCCGTCGATGCAGGTTGCCGGGGCGGATCAGAGCTCCATTGATGCCATAAAAGCAGTGGGAGGCAGCGTGACGATCGTCTACATGGCATGCGCCTCGGAATGGGTGGCACATTCAGGCTGTGCTCACTGTTTCCAAAGCGTAGCGGAATGAACGCCTGGATGAAACTTGCCGGGTTAGCATGTTTGCTTTCGTGCCGCCTTCCGTTGAGGAGCGTGTAGCCCTACGTGCACACATCAAGCCGTGGAAGTTCGAGGTGCCCTTCCAAAGCTGTTCGATGCTTCGAGGGGTTGATGCTGGCGTTTTTGCGTTCGGGCATCGCTCGCGTAGCAGGTGCTGCCCCGAACCGCGCGCCCGACGATGAAAATGGCAGTCCTCTCAGTGGCTGTGACACGCACAAACCTGAACATTATGTACAGGTACGGCAGGGACTTCCGAATTTTGTGGTTTTCATAAGTTGCGCCTCCTTCGGCCGAAGCCATCAGGGGAGGATTCCGACAGGTTCCGAAGCAGGGCCTAGGGTTCGAAACCGTGGACCGTGAGACCAGAAGTCCTGCACTTCTTGAGGTGACCTACCTGGAGAAGATGAAAGCTCGTGGATGTCATGTCAGGCAGACTCCTCAGTAGGTGTAAAATGCGTCGGCGTTCAACTCCCCCAAACAGCCCAACTCCAACACACCCTTAGTTCCTGAACCCTACAAACTCAGAGGATAGCTTCTGCTTTGCGTTCCGCATCGCCTCTGCAAAGATGAGCATCTTCTCAACAAGCTTGAACCCTTCGCAAAAAAACCCAAACCCCAAATTCCAGAAGCTACTTGTACGAACTACAACTAAACGGGAAACGCTGAACTCCCAAACCCAGGAGCCCCGGCAGCCCAGGTACATCAAGCCCTTGTGGCTCATTGAGGAGGAGAAGAGGCTTCAGAGCCAACTACGGGAGCTCAAGACCGAGGATCGCCGGGGATCCTCCCCGAAAGCAGTTGCACATGTCACAAAGAAGAACAAGGGAACAGGTGGAAGTGCAGAAATAGATAAGATTAAGATATGTAAACATATGTAGACGTGCATGTTTGTATAATTGCACATGCATAATATATATATATATAT